TGTGGCTAGTTGTATCCTCGTGAATCTGATGTAATATCGTAACTATCCGAATAAAGCTCATGCCAATGGCCTAAGTGATCACCTTAATATTAAAAAAAAAAAAAAAAAAAAAAAAAAAGTATATAGCTATAATATGCTAGATAATTAATAAGTATACAGGTAATTGTAGAGTGTGACAACTAATTACAGAGGCATGCCAAATAATCACAGAGGCATGACAAATAATTATAAAGCATGACAAATAAACACAGGTATAACAAATAAGCACATGATATGTCAAATAATTACAGAGTATCCAAATAATCACAGGACAAATTACCAAGTATCACACAACTATAATTTAATAGATGCAAACTATAAGTTAAATATTTACTAATTTGTAAATATTAAAATTTTGTATTATATTACTAAATAATTAAAATAGAATTAGTGTAATTAGTAAAGAACCACTAATTTTGAGTAGATAAAAACATGGATGTATAGTTTAAAATAGGTTGTGTAGTACAAAAAACGCCTATAGAGAGCAGAATAAAAAAAAATAAAAAAAAGAAAAAAACTTAAAAAGAGTTTAGAGTTTTTTGAGTATAATTTTGCCAATTTTGGATTTACAAACTTGAACTATAGCTTTTTATAGTGGAGGCAATGAGCTCTTTAAGTTTTCTTAAACTTGAGAAGTAGATTGAAATAGTAGTTTTTAAGTTATTTACGAAGTTAAAGAAAAAAGGCTAAAAGGCTATTTTTCGATAAGTTTAAAAGATTTAAAGCTAATACTTAGATATTATATATATTTTTATATAAAGAACAAGTTTATTTAGTAGCAATTAAACCTCTTTTTATTAGTATATATACTCTATATTTATCCTAATATAGTCTTTATTTGGTTTAATAAAATATATATATATACTAAAAAAAGTTTAAATCACTAAAATGATTCTAAGATATTAAACCCAAATTTTTGATATATTAGCCAAATTAGTAAAGATAATTAAGTGCTAAAGTAAAATTTTTGAATTGTTTTGTAGCATCAAATTAATTTTTACTTTTTTAGATATTAGAATATATAGTTTTTCTGTAGTTTTTCTATAGTTAAAAAAAACAATTTTCTAATTAACTTTTTAATTATATAATATATTTACAATATATACAGGAAATAAAAAAAAAATTTTGGTATTGTCTCCAGTTTTTATACATATTTAATAGTTATGATTATTATAATATAAAAAAAAAAATCTTGTAGTTATTTATCTTTGTTTTCAAAATAAGCAATATTTACAAAAAATAACTTACATCTGGTGAAAAAATTAACCGAATAATTACTTTTCCAATGAGCTTTTGATTCGACAGTGATAAACTTTTAATTTGAACATGATTAGTAATATAGCGATGATGGTCTTATAACTAAAATTACAGAATTATTTGATTATTGTAGTGTTAATTATATCCAACCAGAGTCTTTAGATTTTTGTAGCATCTAAAATAGCACAAAATAGCTAAACATGTGATTATTACTTTGTTCCTGAACTTATTTATATAAATGAGTAATTATATACATTATATATATTTTTTAGATAATGACTGAAGAACTTACTGAATTGATAGATGAGAACTCGCAGAAGAAAATATAATTACATTAAAATTTATACTTAATAAATATAAATTTATAAGTTATTTTGCTAATTCACTAGATATTTTTGCTATCAACATATGAAGGCCCTGCATTCAGCATGATAACAAAAGCAGATGCTTTCGAGTCTATATCTAATACCAAGCCAGAATAAGGTGAGTTTATACAGTGAATACTCAAATACTCAATTAGTTTAGAACAATAATTGAATTAGTTATCAATCAATATTTGGGCATTAAATATAAATAGAAAAAAAAAAGAAAAAAATTTTCCTTTTAGTAAAAAAAAAAATAGCTAAAACCAAAAAAAGTACTTTTTTCTGATCTACAAAATATCAACCAACTCTAACAACTTCTTTATCTACCTAATAACCAAAATCCCAAACTGCACTGTTAAAATCATCTACCCAACCACCAAGAGTTCAATCATCAAGATTACCTGTGCCTACCAGACTATCAAAGCTCCAATTATCAAAATTGCTTATATCTACTTAACCACCAAGACTTCAACCATTAAGATTGTTTACACCTACCTGACTACCAAGATCTCAAATCACACTATTATCTATTTCACCAATTCAGTCACCTAATTTACTAACCAGATCACTTGTTTTATCCTCGAGTATATCTCCTCTTTCACCTCTAAGTTCAGATAGAGAATATAATATTTACTCTAAATTTTTTTTTTTTAAAAAAAAAAACTAATCTATTAGTAATAATAATATTTTAATTTTAATATGGAAAGAAATTGATAAACTTTGCATAATTCAAAAACAACAAGAATATACTATAAAGAATTTATTATCTTCAATAGAACATTTAACAAATAAAATCAACACATTAAGTCAAGCTGAAAGTCAGCAAGAATTAGTTGATGAGACTAGTAAAACATCAATAGCTTCGCAACAAAGACCTACTACACAATTTGAAAATGACAAAGAACAAAAAAATGCACTTTGGGTATATTATTTAATTATAATTATAAATAAATATAATTGGACTTCAAGTATATTAATCTAAACTTAGGCCAAACAAACTTAATGAATTTTATTTTCAAAAAAAAATTTTATACATTTGTCCTTACTTTTTTAATATCGATCTAGGCTATAAAATAAATTTTTTATATTAAAATTATTTCAAAATTCCTCATATATATCAACTATAAATATGTTTTTTTATTAATATTACTATTAACATAATATAAAAATAATCCAAATAGGTTGATATTAATGAGGGATAACTGTATATAAATATATTGTGAATTTTACCTGGCCGAGTTATGAAAACTAACTTATTATATTTGTATATCCTCATCTATAATTTATAGATTTAGATTTTTCTTTTATATACTATATTATACTTTTTTCTGATTCAGAATTAAGAAGTCCCAAATAATAATATTGTAATTTTTACTCAAATTATATAACAACTCTATAATTAATATTTCTTGTTGTAGAAAGAGATTTTTCTTTTATTAAATGAAAAAAGGGATGATTATAATTTAGATTGTAATTTTAAATGGGTTGAACAAAAAGCCCGGCTAGTAAAAAATACCATTTCTGTTCTTCTTGAAGTTTTTCAAAGTTAATACAATACAAATAGAAATAAAATATCAAATATTTTATAACAAAGGCTTAAATCAAAAAGAACTTTGTAATTGATTTAACAAGATCAAAATTGGTCTGATTATCTTGATGAGAGAACTCACAGAAATACTTGTTGATATAATATAAGAATTTTATTTAATATTGCGATCATAATTTAAAATGAAAGCTATATTTTTTATTTAACCTTTTAATCTTATAAAATCACTTATACTTGTTTAATATAAAATACTCTAACTTTAACCCTAACCACTAACTCCTAACTCTAAAAATTTTTGAAATTTTATACTATAATTTCATTTTAATCTAAATTTCATTATAATTTGCCATATTTAATGCTGCTTACTATAGTCATTTTATTAAAAATTTTTTTTTATTATTGATACATTTTATAGAAAATGTCTCATCGTGCAAATGCATTTAAATATCTTTATTCAAAAAAAGACAGCCAAATTATGTCTTTTGATTTGGCTAAGATAAAAAAAGTTCTAGAAACTGGCAATGTTCATTCACCTGAATTGTCTAATGCAGACAATGAAATGGATAAAAAAAGAAATATATATGTTAATATATATGATTTATTATAGAGATCAGAAAAGATATTGAATTTATTTAATGTTAAATTGTATTAAATTGTAAACACATTATGTTAAAATTGCATACATATACCTATATATGTATAAATATTTTTTACACTATATAAATATAGTTACATGAATTATTTAATAATATTTTTAATACTACCATAGCTTCTAATTATGTATGACCATGATGATGTAGATCTTTTATATTAACTACATCACCACCTGAAGGTCTCCCAGAATGGGCAATAGCTAATGAAGATAATGAAGACAACGAAGAAAAATAACAAAAGAAACAAAAGAAACAAGAGGCAGAAAAAGAAAAGAAGATAGAGGAGGAAGAAGAGACAGAGGAAGAAAAAACAAAGGAAGAAGAAACAGAGAAAGAAGAAGAGATAAATAAAAAGAAAAAGGGTAAAAAACAGCCTCTTATTTCACTTATTAAAACATCCAAAGTGAAGAGGAAAAAAAAATAAACCAATTATATACAATATAATATACTGATTGATATCTCTGACTGTAATATTAATATTTATATTAGTATTGTATTAAAATTATAGATCTGTAGATTACAGACCACATTGTAATTATAATAAAATAGTCACTTTATTTTTAATATTTTTTGTTTTGCATATCTACTATCTGACTTGGGTTTTTTTTTGTACTCATACTTTTAAATAATGTCGCTAGAGTCATTATTGCTATTAGTGCTATCTTTTGTGCAACTCTGTCCTTGCTGCCATTATCAGTAGGTTTTTGTTGCTTTTGGAGTTGTTATTGTGAGAGTCTTTTAGCCTTTTCAATCTAATTTATTCAAACTAATTTAATCACACTGTCACTACAGGGTGAGTAAGTTTTGCAATGTCCATAGCAAAATTTTTCAATAATTATAATTTAATGCAAACTAACTTAACTTTTAATCACACATACTGTGTATTGCCAGTAAGTTCTGTAATAAAATTTTTCAATAACTCATGATAATTCTAATATGAACTAATTCTGCAACATACAAATGGTGAGTAGATACTATAATGATAATTCCAATACAAACTCAATATAAGCTTTGGAATAAATTTTTTTACAGTAACCCATAATAGAAATCATTTGTATAGTTTGTGAAGTTTTTTTTCGATTACTGTAAGTTAATAGAGCCCTTTGTTGTTGCATAGAGAGATTCTCTTTCTTTTTGCTATCGCTCACCTTGTAGGAAGGCTGGCTTTATCATCCTTCGCCTATTGAACAATGACTTATAGTTATTGTTGGTGCTAAAGCATCAGTCTACCAATTCTTTTTATAGCTATGCAGTTTTCTTGAAGACTTTCTTTACATGAGGCTTGTTAAGAAATTTGTATAGTTGCTTTCTTGGGACTTCTCTATATAAGAATCAGATTTAGTAATAATACATTGGGTTCTTTAGAGAATAGTTGAAATGTTTTGGGATAGGGCAGTTAGTTCAAAGTTAGCATTGTCTATAGAAAAAGTGTTTTAGCATAGGAATAATAAGCCTGTAAATAGTAACAAGTGTATAGGCATTTCATAACAATAAAAATTAATTAGTCAATTAAATTCAATCATTTAATACGTATAAATTTTACTATTTTAATTCTTCAGAATTAAAAAAATCCACTCATATATTGGAAAATTTATTATTATCTAAAAATCAGCTACTAAATTTAAATATTCAATCTTATCGTTATTTTTATCTCTAATATCGACTATATAATATCTAAAAATCAGACCTAATTTAAATAAATATTCGACCCTAATATCAACTATTATTGATTATAATTTAAATATTCGACTTTATTTATTTCTAATATCAGCTATATATGTATAAAAATCAGACTTAATTTAAATATTTAATTCTAATATCGATTATTTTATTGTTTAAAAATCAAACTTTTTTATTTTAATTTAAATATTTAACTTAATTTTATCTCTAATTTTGACTATATATTGTCTAAAAATTGGACATTTTTTTTCTAATTTAAATATTCAACTTTATTTTGTTCCTAATATCAACTATATATTGTCTAAAAATCAGACCATATCATTTTACTAAGTTTAAATATTCGACCTCATTTTATCTTAACTATCGGCTAAAATATCAGGTACTTGATTCACCTCTGAATTATATACAAATTTTAGAGATCAAATTGAGGTTGAATTGTATATTTTTAATCAGTGAAACCAATATTATTTAATTTTTACTTTTTATAATAAAGTTTATTAATAAACTCTCAATATAGTATATATGAAATTTTTTAATTAAACAGATATAATTAAATACATTGTGATATAGTAAAAATCATATCATGTAATCCATATTAGCCAATCACATTAACAAAATATTATACAAATATAAATTTTAGCAATATATATATGTAAAATAATTGCTATTAAGTATATATTGTTCTTTGATACATTATTCTTATGCAAAAGAGATTAAGAATTATAGCTCTACTAGTTTATATATAATATATATAGAAAGATTGAGGTTTTAAGTTTTCTAAACTATATATACATATATATCTTAATATTAAGACAAATTATTAGCCTTTATTTATTTTTTTTTATATTATGAGCAAAATTTTATTAAAATAAGTCTAACAGATTACAAAACAATTTAATAAATATTCTTGGTTTTGAAAAAAAATTACTAGCAAGTTTTTTTTTTGTTAGAAATTATCATATAGACCAGGTTGGATTATAAAATATAAGAGCTTTTTTTTTAATTTAATAATAAATTATAAAAAGAAATTCTTATTTGCAAAGATTTTTTTTTTCAGAATTTTGAATATTTATATAAGTAGTAGTATTATAAAATAAAGCCCAATTTTTGTATAATTTTTTTTATTTAATAAGCTTTTTTTTAAATTTTAATTATTTATATTAAACAAACTTTGTTAAGCTATAAAAGCCAATTTATTTAAATTTATTTTATAAAAAGATAAACAGGTACTAGTTAATATACTTTTTTTTTTTTTTGAATTACTTAAATAAAAGCTTCCTACTTTTTTATTTTTTTATTATTTTTTTTTAATTTTTTTTTATTTCTTTTTTTTGTTTTTTTTTTAATTTTTTTTTTACATTTAATAAAATTGCATTACTAACAACTTGTTAACTAATTTCATTTTGAAAAGTTGAATTATGTGTTTTTTTATTTTAGAAATATGCTCCTTTTTTATTTTACTTTGCTGAAACATAGATTTTTTTAATTATACAAATATTATATTAAAAATAATATAATTTTAATATTAAAACAATATAATTTATAAATTATATAATTTTTATATTATTATTATATTATTATT